TATCTCATTAAAAGAAGGGTTTAGTTATCTTTTAGAGTTCTTGAAAAACTGGTTTTCCAGAAAACGGGGTCTTCAAGAGTCATGGGCCCGAATCCTTTTAGGATTTTCTTAGTCTCACTGAGTCCTACTCATAGCCAAAATATGGAGTCAAACGGCGTCCGACAGTTGGATAGGTTCCCTCGTAAGCATCACTTCATAACGTGTTCCTCTTTGTCTCTATCTTTCAGGCTCCACCCGTTACATTCCATGTGATTGGTTTCGGTGAAGTTAACGATCAATTTCTCAATCAAATTCGGACATTCGGTACACGTCAAGGTCTATTTCGTTATTCAACAGAATCAAGAGAATTACAGAACAATTTCAATGACATGTTTGAGTACGCATTGAATGTTCGTGAATTCACTATTAAACTGTCAAACGGGAAAAGTTACAGCATGTATAGTAGTGAGCGTGAAACAATTGGTTTTCTAACCGACGATGATACGGATCTCAGCTCAGTTACAGAGTTGACTGTAACCGATGATGCAGGAGTAACGCAAAACTTTAGCTTAACCCAAATGCAAAATATTCGTCCACTAAATTCTGTACGCGCGCTAAATTTGGTTTCACCACAAAATGAAGAACAGGTGAAATCGATACAAACATATTTGAATACAATTCAAATTACAAACAGTAAAAATTTGATGGAACGCTTGGAAGTTGAACAGATTTACAAAGAAATCGATGAACGAATGATGAAATATCGTCAACTTTTTACACAGCTGAAAATGAATCAAGTACCTGAGCGTGTGAAGCTACAACTGAGTGCATTGAGACACGATGCAGTGTTTACTAATGCACAACGAAAGAAAATATTAGACTTGAGAATAAATAAAAATGCTGATTATTTCAAAAAGACAGACATCAGTGGAATACTACAAGGTTATAAAGATTCAATTACACCGGATACATGGCAGACGATCAAGGAACAGAAACAAGATTGGATTGACATCTATTCAAAAGACGATATCTATGAAATTATGCGAAAGTCACCTGATAATATTTTATGCTTAGGTAAGAATTTCACCAGAAAATGATGATATTAAAGGCTCATGCTAGCTTGGGATAATCCAGAAAAGCACGATTTTACCGTATATCTTGTTGAAAACCTTAAGTAATCAAAGTTCGGTATTTGAAATAAGTTCAAGAAATATAGCAAGCTGGAAGTTGTACAACGCATTATAAAAATCTTTTTTCCTGCAAGAAGCACTTTTTTCGAATTAGCTCCAAGAAAAGCAAGGTACGACTTGAGTGAAAAAAATACCGTTTACAGTTAGCTACAAACGTTTCGAAAGCAGAAAATAAAATTGTTGACCTATAGTAGTTCAAGGCCCTTTATCGCAAGTTACTGATTATACTCACAATTCGACTTTCTCTGAGTTTGGCTACTCTGTGAAAACTGCGTTGCATAAAAAAGCCGCCGACGGTACAACTTGCAAAATGAGTGAATCTACACTGAAAGTTGCATCAGACCTCTAATATCAACCATAAGCTAATATCTAATGGATGTGGCAGGAAGATCTGGACTTCTTTGTTTTCGCTATATTTCTGTCAGTTTCCATCATTCGCAATTTCAATTTTCTACAACACTATGTATTAGTAATTTTCTGACGTGGGAGACAACGGAATTATAAGAGAAAAAACAAACACGTCCAAAAGTAATAATTTTCCATGGTAAAAATCAAAGTTTACAAATTTTCATGGTTATACCTTACGACAGTGAAAATCTGAGACGACCATTCGAAAGAGCGCAAAACTTTCTATCGGAAACTCATATACAAAAATATTTTGAACATCTCGATGCACAATAACAAGATTTAAGTTTTTTTTGAGTTTTTGAAAAACCGCCCTTTTTGATTCACTATTTCGTCCTTCCCCAAAGATTCTCATAATTCATCCAAAAAATGATCCTTTTTTTGATAATTCTTTTTTGTTTTGAAGCTTGAAGTTTCAGCTATCACAAGAGTGCGTTTTCAAAAATTTTCAGATTTGTCTATGCGCTCTACTCATCGAAAAAATTCTCAAAAATTGCGATTTCCGTCCTATCGAGAAAATTTTCGTTTCTGCTGTCGTTTTATTGAGAATAAACTTTTTTTGTAGCACGTCAGAAAGAGCACACTTTAACCGTATTAGAAAAACAATGATAAAATCAAAGAAACAGATATGTATGGAATGATCAAAAATTCTGCAGTAACTGTCGAAAATTAGTCTTGGAAAGTTGATACTTTCGGACGTCCTTACTTTTTCCCTTATAACACTGTCATCTTGTACGTTATAAAATTTATTAAAACACAGTCGTGTAGAGAATTCAACTGCGAATCTTTTAAAAAAATTTTAGTCTGATTAAATAAAAACTGACGAAACTATATGTAGCGAAGACAAGAAAGTCCGGTTCTTCCTGCCGCACTCGTTATATCTGACTCCGGTCGAATGACCTTCAAACCTCTTTAAAGGTCCTTGAAGACTCCTCAAAGATGTTAAAAGTCTCCGAAAAGGTTTTTCAAAGAACTTCGAAGACCTTTAAAGAACTTTTGGTCTTAAAGGTCTTCAATTTCAAAGACTTTTAAAAGCCTTCAAATATCTCTGGTGCTTGAAGATCTTTGGAGTTTTTTGAGACTGGAGTCCTTTGAAGTCGTTTAAAGATCTTCAAAGATCTGCAAAGATCTTTAAAGTTCGTTAGTATTCACTACTATTCAGCACTACTCATTACTATAACTCGTTACAATGGCCTAGAAAGAACATAAAATAAAATCTGACGTCGAACATGTGCCCTCGCTTGATCATAGCAGTCACATGCGAAAACGTTTAACTTTTCTCTACATTCTCCTGCTAGGTATTCTCGTTCAACGTGACGAAGAAGTTATTACCGGTCCTACAAAAGGTTTAACACTTTTGTCTGTTACAAACACAATTATTTCCTACGACTCATTCATCAATGCAATGAACGTGGCTAAAAACAACCAACAACAGCAGCAACAATCATCAGATCAACAACAGGTACAGGGAAAGTTCGCTACTCTGAACGATGTATATTGTGTAGCTGGTGCTCTGTCGAATGAACGAATTAATGCCGTGATTCCACTGTATATCAACGATGAACACATGAAACGAATTCGAATTTTGGAAGGTATTTGGCTCGGTTACCTTTACACGCTAGACAGTTATGGATATGACAAACAACAAGAGGTTGGTCTCTTGAAATTGCTCTATCAAATCATACAGCAACGTACACACACACAGCGACAAAAACAGATATTAACTGAACTTGAAAAAGTCTGCCAATTTATTATCAGAGAGTCACTGGGTTTTAAAACAGCTGAACAACAAGGCGAGAAGACATATGAAAGACTATTGAATCGTACGCCAATTAGTCAAGAATATGATCTCTGTATACCGTTGATGATTGGGTATTTGAAAAATGATTTAAACAATGTTCTTCTACCAATTTACTACGAGTATATGAGACAAGAGTATCAAAAGAAATTTAAACATAGGTCATTTGAAGCTAAACAAGCGGTAGAAAAATTAATCTATGGTTGCGAAGTAAAACATGAGACAATGACTGTAAGTGCACAGAATCAAAGCAACACTGGAGAAATGAATAAAAATGATCCAGATCACATTGAAAAAAGTTTTATCGCCTATTATCACGATGAATTGACTAGACCTATTGAATTGATACCAGAAAAGATGGCTACAAATGAAAACAGTAGACCACTGATACGGGAAGAATGTGAATTGGAATATATTAAAAGTTTTCTATTACCAACACCAGACTTCATTAAAACTGTATTGAATTATTGTGGAATTGATGAAGATTACATTGAAAAACATTTAGATTACAATCATTTGAGATGGGAATTATTAATTACACTTCACTATTTGATTAATTTCGATACAAATAGTGGAGGATTACAGAATTTGCCCAGTGAAGAAAAAATTCTGAAAGTAATTGATGAACGATTAGAAGGTAAGAGAGATAGAGAAAGTTGGGTCTGATCTGTGAACGCTTTTTGAAAAGGAGATGAGACGAGTGGGTAAAATGCTAATAACCTTTGTGCGAAAATTACTGGCGATCTCGAGTTTTCACTGTTCCAAAGAGGACACCGAGGCATACGTATGTAAATGAAAAACGAGAAGTGTCCTCCAGTTTTCTCACGCTTGTTTTGGTGGGGAAAATTAGCGTTTTCCTCCAAAAAAATCTTCTTTCTTTTTTCGATAGTTTGTAAGTTAGCTTAAAGTGTCTCCTTTTAAAAGGTAGACAAAAATTGGCGTCATCGCTAAGTTATCAACGTTTCACGTTAGGCTGACTATTTGAGAAACTGGACTCTTTAGCCTGAAGGCATAGTCAATTGAGTGTGTTGTACATCGTGGTGCTGTTAGTTTTCTTTATTTCATGTTGAAAAAACTCAGTGACTAGCGTCTTTCTAAAAGCGCATATTTAGCCAACTGTAGAAAAAATTTTCTACAAAACTTTAACCGCTCTTACTTTCAGTTTCAAATAAAAAAACTAACTGCATCACGGTGAGCAGTGCCCTCAGTTGAATATGCCTGGCTAGTTTTTCGAATTAAGCAGTCCAATTTTCAAAAAGTTACACAAGCAGAAAACACTCATATCACGGCAAAGATTCGCTTGGACACCATAAAGGCTACACTTTAAGCTATAAAGCCAGGGAAAAATAAAAAGTTTCGGCCTAAATTAAATCGCGTTGTTTTCGTGTTTCAGAACAATAAACATTTTCCAGAGAAAAACCGTCTTATTTATTTTAAATTTTCTTTTATGTACACATAGGTGCAAAAGAGCGTACTGTCAACTACGATTGCTCATCAGAAAATGTTCATCTTGTCAGTTACGTTATTCTCAACTGTAAGACACTTGAAGGTTTTGGTGGACTTATGCGTAAATATTGTTCACAACGCTGTGGTCCAATATTTACCGAAGTGATTAAACAACTAATTTTATTAGACGATGACGACAACAACACTGTTGCTGTGACAAAGAAAGATAAACTCGCTGCTCTCTTTAGAAATCAAATTTCAACAGCAACAGTAGAAAAACCACTTTACGAGGACGAAGCTATGAAAGGCTGGCGTTGGAATTCAGAAGATGAAAGTCAAATTGAAAGATTTAAACGATTTATTGACACAAGAGCCATTACAGACATTGAATATGAAAACTGGAACAGATCAGACGATATTGAAAAATCAGTTTTCTATTGTTATCGTCCACGTCCTCCCAAAAAAAGACAAAAACATCGTTTTATTTTGTTTTAAAATTTTACTTATCTGTGATTTTGTTTTTTTTAAAGAAAAATATTCATAAAACGACAAACTTTGCTGTGAGTAGGACCATGGCTAGCAGATTCACTTTATACTATCGCCGTTCACTCTAACTCCTTATCTCTATGTCAGTTGTTCTATCAAACAATTGTCTGCTTGTTGTACTTCAGTTATGTAATTTGGCAAACGTTTAACGTAAACTATCATTCTTATTTATCGATAAATTAGATAAGGTTTTAACTGTTGATCGAACGCAATATGGCAACAGATGACGATGATCGCGAGTCCAATATGTCTTCGTGGAATAGAGAAATCATAGCCAGTCTGCTGATTCGGACGAATACTTGCGTCTAAACGATCGGTTGTTGTGCGGACTTTTATACAACTTAATTGCAGTTCATACAAGTTTTTAAACTTTTCTTAGAAAACTTGACTATAAATCTTACTGACAGATTATACACGACTTTTCTTTTCTTTAGTTTGTCAACTCACATGTGTCACATCAATCAAGTTTTTATTAAACAGTGATCGTTCTCATCTTCGTCTTGACCTATGGAAAAGTCTAGTATTAAATTCATAAAACCTGTTGCTAGGCTTCGTTAAGTTTCCTATTAACACATATTGTAGAGCGTTTCATGGCCCATCGAATGATGTATTGCGCTAGACTTAATATAGTATGTTTACTGAGAAATATTGATTTTACAGTCATACTGTTGGTGCTAAACTGTCGCTTGGTTTCAAGTAGATTCTGTCGGGTGTATTCCCGATTGGTCGACAGGCTCTTAATTGTTCTTAATTGTCGACACTGGTTTTTTCCCGAACGGTCGACACACTGTTTAATCCCGATTTGTCGACAGTTTTTTTTTCTCTACTTGTCGACAGTTTATTTTTCCTGAAAAGCCGACACACCTGGATCCAAGGCTACCGACAATTCCTTAATTGTCGACACTTTTTCTTCTGTAATTAACCTTATGCATATACATGAGTAGAAAAATAGTAGTATAGTTCACAGAAAACTTTACAGAGCTATTGTTGGTTCCTCTGTTATTGGTATTTTCTTATGTTTTTTACCAATTGTTTTACTAATTTTTGATAGATAATCATCCTTTGTTAATGTGCCTTTTTTATAACGTTCCATTAAATCCAAAATCCGTGCATTTCTGATTACATAAATTTTCCGCCGTGGTACTTTTCTTTGTTGAGCCGCATTGAGGGAAGCATTGATAGCTCCCAATTCAAAATCCACTGTGATATATTTGGGATTGAGTAATAAATCGTGTTTAACCGTCAAATTCCTCTCTGTGTTTCGATAACTGAGTACATTTTATTGTATTACTTATTAATTTTAACTCGTTTCAATACTTTATAGTCAGATAAATTTACTATGGTTATTATAGCCCACATGGCCAAGTCACTTAGTGCACTGTTCAGTTTATAAATTCTGCTATAAGAAAATTGTGTCGACGTTTAGGGAATTACTTTTATACACTGCCAGCTTTGGTCGACGTTTTAGGATAAAAAAATTGTCGACAAAACAGGAATAAAATTTTGTCGACGAAATAGGAATTTTAAAGTGTCGACGAAACGAAAAAAAAATTGCGTCGACGAAACAGTAAAATCTCTTAATTGGCTTTAATTTGTCGACGAATCGGAACTGAACCTTTTGTCGGATATATTCGACTGAAAGCGTTCGGATTGCTCGAAATCATCGAATATGATAATCGGATGTGATTGTGATGAGGTATGGACCGAGTAAAGAGGTTATTGTTAGTGTACCGATTACCGTTCCTATGCGGACTTTACCTTTATTATAAATAAGAATTATTATTCCTGTTATAGCACGAAGATGAGAACGATCACTGTTTAATAAAAACTTGATTGATGTCACACATGTGAGTTGACAAACTAAAGAAAAGAAAAGTCGTGTATAATCTGTCAGTAAGATTTATAGTCAAGTTTTCTTAAGTATCTAACATGAACAAGAATCAGAAATTACAACGTCGTATCAAAACGTTATCCGTCCTTCAATTCTTCTCTTTTCATACTTTCAAACACGTCTTTGTCTGCGTCTATGTCTGTATTCCTTGCTCTTATAGAAACTATACAGTGTACCAAACACAAAAGAGGTGTATAAAACACATCAAAGAAAGAGGAATATCAACCTTTTAAAAATATGAATACGCAAGGACACACAAGATGGATTAATCTTTTGAAGAGTGAAACATCACGATTACCAGCTATGTTTTCTCGGCGACTCATGAATATTGGCTAAATTTCTTCAGCATTAATTTGACTATTTATTATTTTACACCAGTCATCATTTGAATCTCGAAACACCTCTGTTTCATTTCTCACCAAATCTCTGCTAGATTATTCAATATAAGTCGGCTTAAATCATTATTGGACAAAAATCATTTCTTCAAAAAAAAAACGTGCGAACATGCATTGTATCTGAAATGATGAAAAATTTCCTTTTCAAAATCGTCAAAAAAAGAAAAGTTGTGTATAATCTGTCAGTGATCTGTTATTAAGATAAGCTCGTTAAGAGTACCCCCCCTCCCCCCCCTAAAAAAACCACTGTCGAAAACACTGCTTCCCCTCATTTTGTACTTTCTATGGAAATGCTGTGAAATAAAAACTAAAACTCACTGACGAGGGTGTCAATGACACCTTTCCTTGCAAAGTTATAGAATTTATAAGATAAGCCCTAAATGTTCATTGTCAACTCAGAGCTAAGCATATGTTCATGTTGACATTAATGATGTACTGGTAATGATCTACTATTCTACTGGTCAGAGCTTCCATATAACCTTTATCAATTTTCCGTCCAACCTCTGCCCAAACGTACCATTACAAAGGTTATTTATTACCTAATCTTGCCAGGATAAATCGCCAGACTTTAGGAAGTTGCATTCTTTAGATCATAGATGCGGCGTCGACAGAATTATAACTTAAACACTCGCAGTAGTGACTGTCGCAGTGGACTTTCGGTAGTTGTGTTTTTGTTGGATTTTCGCAAAATACCAGACTGGAACTTTGACAATAGCCAATAGTCCAGTTTTGTAAATATCGGAAATAC